TTCGAAAAATGAAAGAAACACGATTTATCTTTATTATACATAAAATTCAAAAAATTCGAAAACCTTAACAAATTTACCTAACCCGTGCGGTCTAGAGCCTAAGAGCTTTCGCAGATTGTTTCTCAAAAAATTAGATGAAAACATAAAAACTTTACGAATGTATTTGATGCAGACCAGAGTGCAAAAAATGTATATGTAAAATAAAAAAAAAATAATAAACCTTACTAATTTACCTAACCTGTGCAACCTAGAACAATCGTGGGTTCCTTTGCACAAAAAATATACATAAAATGAGTTGGGTTTAATTTCGTATGTTAGCGGGTAAATTTAAATCTGATCCTACTTTACTACACATTAAATGTTTGTTACCTGGACCCAGTTTCGAATCGCTTCTCTATTCATACCAGCTTAAAAAATTATTTATAAAATTAAAATTCAATCCATTGTATTTTGTGTAATGGTCCTAATAAAGTTAAGCAACACGTTTTCGATTTGCGTGTTTTTCAGTACCAATTGTCTCTTGAAAGACACATGAAAATTTGTAGTTTGGTAAACGGAAATGTTTCCTTAAATGATTTACTATCAAATCAATCATTTCTTTTAATTTTTGTATTAATAAGAAATTTTTTATATAAAAAATAGAGTAACATCAAAGTAATATCGGCCCCCCCAGTATGATGAAAACTGGTCAAATTATTAAGTTTGAGACCTTATTGCGCATAATATTAGGTATACTCTCATATTTGTTACTAAGGTTAGAAGGGAGATATTAAATATCACCGAGCAATTAAGATCTAGTTACAAACGAAAGAGTATCAAGTGAAACACCTTTATCTGACCAAAGTTGTGTTTACAAGCCTGAGACGATCTTCAGGAAAAATCTTAGAAAAATAGACCAGAACAAATAAAACACCACTTACAAACACATATGCAGCAGCAATCGGTTAAGTTGGACAAGTATCTATTTTGAACCGTTTAAGTCTCCAGCTGTACATGATATATTTCTTTCCCTGCTTCAGCGGACACAGGAGAAATTACTACCATATAATAATATAATACCAGAGCAGTCTGAAACTGGCATATATACCAGAATCATGAAGAAGGGCTAGAGTCACCCTTGTTATAAAAGTAGGGAAAAAGGTATTATAAACAATGTAGAAGACTGTTGATAATTATATCAGAACACAACGAGTGCGCTGACCGAGAAGAAATATCTACAGAAGCTGACTGACGAAACCTAGGTTTCACTGAATATAAAACCCCAGAAAGGCGCGATGCGCATATTTACAATATGACAAAAGTGCGACGGAAGTGGCCATCTTGTAGGGCCAGGGACTCATACCTGGCCTGTCAAGTCGTTCATGACATTAGGTAGTTTTGGTGTGTTTTCAGCTTTGCGTTCAAAGGTTTTTAGTATTTTTCGTCCTTAAATCAAGTGATTAAGTGATATTTTACTTTTTATAATAAAAAACAATAGTTTGTGTTAAAATAACGTACTTGCAATAGGTCAAAATATTGTTTTTGCCTATTTTACAAAGAAACAATTATGGTTAGCTGTGCAGCATGTCGCTCTTCAAAGACTTCTTAAACAAAATTTTAGGGATCACATTTCATCGGTAAGTACTTTTATTTGTTAAATCTGCAAAAATTTTATTATTTTACAAATTTTATTTTGGATTACTTTCAAGGTTGTCTCAGACGTCCTTAACATATTTTTAATTTTCTTATTATTTTCCATTTCAGTTATTTTTTATTTTTTCTGTTTTATTGACAAATAAATATGCGTCTGTGATTATCACTTCAAAGAAAAAAATTAATTTTTTTAAATAACAATTTAGATATTTTAAATAAAATCAAGATTTTCTTTGATTTTAGCTTTCCAAAGTGGTCCGAATAGAGAGAAATGGATTGACTTTGTAAACACCAGGACGGATGCCATTAGCTAGTAATGTTTTATATTTACAACATTTTAGTAATGAATGTTTTGATCGAACATCCCTGGTAAAAGTATGATTGTTTCCAACTTCTATTCCAACAATAAGAGTGGATCGTTTAAAATTTGTAAGTATTTCGGCGTAAGGTTCAGTTGTATTAAAAATACACAAAAAACTTACCTATGTAAAATTGGACTTAATAGGTATCTAATTAAATGTTTATTTTAACTTGTAGGTGAGGATATTTAACCCAGGTCACACAAAAACTGCAAAGAATGAGGACAAAAATATATCTTCAGTTCTTGAAAATAGTTATCAATGGACCCCAGCTGTACCAGGACCATCTAAATATAGTGATACCCTGGCTATGATCCCCACATCTATTCGGTTACATACTCCTTCGCCCTCTCCAGGCAAGTCATTTACATGTGGGACATATATTAAAAATGAAGATTTGTGAATTGCAGCATAAAGATATTATAAAAACCGTTAAAATTATAAAATTGAAAAAGAAGACTTGGAGACAGAAAAAACAAATTTCATCTTTAAGATCATCATTTATTAAGTAATGGATTATTATAAGAAATAAAAACTTTTAGAGATTATTATTAATTAAGTCAAAAAGTAATTGGACTGTCAAAAAACGAAATACCCTTTCCATTTAGGTTCAATTCCAAACTACATTTTATTATATAGAAAATGATTAAAAAAATAAATTTCTACTACGAATTTAAAAATATATTTGCTCAATTTTTTAATAATTAATTAGTAAAATAGTTTTTATTTTGATTCTTTTAATTTGAAAAAAAAAAGTACAAATTGTAGTGACACACAAATAAGTAAATAATATTAATAATAACATAAACGTTTATCCTATTAAGATGCGTTTGTCTTTAATTTTGAATAAATGTCTTTAATTATCGCACGCCACTGTCAAAGCAGAAATGATCGTCCGCCATATGCAAGGGCCAACTCGTCAACTATTACTTTAAAATCAGCTCCTTCCTGGAGTTTTATATTCAAAGACATAGAAGAAGCATTTGACAATACGCCACGCGAATCTGTCAAAAGAGTAGGGACCGAAGACGGGACAGCATCCTAAAATGGAACATCGTTATTATTTGTAAACTAGTAGAGGTAGTGACATCTAGGATCTATATTTAGAACATTTGTCAGCCACATTAACTCTGTCGGTGTGTACTAAAATGCAGTAGTTTGCAGAACGTCACAAACGAAAAAGGTTTGTGGAGTGCTTTGTTAAAATAAATATTGTTTTTAAAGTTGTATCGGAATTACGTAACGGTAAGTTGGCATAGATTTTAATATAATAGGTAAATAAAACAATGTCTGAAATAATAGTTAATGTTACATACTTGCAAATTATTCAATGTACTTTTGTGAGGTTAAGTTAGTTTGATAAATATTCCAGTATGCTCAAGATGGGACAATAAAATTTTCTTAAGATGAGACATATTTTAGGTAACTTCTAAAAAGCTGGCTATGAGAAAATGGGGATAAAAATAAATCGACTACGAATATTATTTTGATATTAAATAGTTTTCTAAGGTGAATATTTATTTCCAGATGGCACCACCAACTGGTAAATATAAATACGTAAGAAAAACTGATAGATGAAAATTGAAAGAAGGTAATATGGCTTCTGCCATAAATAAAGTTTCTTGTAAAAAACTCACGTTTCGACGTGCTGCAGAAATTTATAATGTACCAAAAAGCCGCTTCGCACGCAGAGTTTCAAATAAAAATAAATTGATTAAAGGAAGCGAAAAATGTTTAGAAAGGTTTAGGAGTATCTTTACCGTTGAACAAGAGAAATAAATAAAAGATTATGTTCTACAAATGTTCTAAATTTTTGGTGATACTTGCAGTGAGTTGCGTTAATTAGCATATGACTTTTCGATTGCTAATTCTATTTGTGTTAACTTTAATAAGAAAACTAAAATGGCATCTAAAAAATAGTTCTATAATTGCATGAGGCGATATCGTTTGCTCGTGCTACCGGCTTTAAATAACCGGATGTAGCGTCTTTTTTTAAAAACCTTTATATGGTTTATTCCAAATATAGGCTATCAGCAGATCGTATATGGAACATCGACAAAACTGGAGTAACAAGCTTTTGAAAGTACTCGCACATAGTAAAGGTAGTATCTCCCAAGTTTACGTGAAGGTATTCGTCATGTAGGATTGCACAAAATGCAAGTTATAGGTACATCACAAATAAGTTTAAAGGAAGATTACAAGTAAAGTACGTACAGTTTCTAGGTAATTTTAACTGTAATTCTTGCTTAAGACTAAGTAGTGTAAAAGTTAGGTACAATAAATGAATAACTTAATTGATTATTTGTAAATTACATATACTATGTCGGTTTAGGGTATTAGGATGTAAATTGCATATTAAGTTATTTATGGTCTACAAGTAGCTAATTCTATTTGTTAGGTGTAGTGGGATACAATTCTTTTAATATTTATAGTTAGTTACCTGTACCATAGAGATGTTCGTCCTAAAGTACACTTGTTGGGTTGTGACGTCATTAATTTTGATGACGTATATTTAACTATAGTTTTCATTTAATGCTAGTTACAGTTATTTACACTATGTAGATTTCAGTTATTACCCAGTGTTACCTTTTAGCAAAATAATATTGTAGCTTATATTATTCCAATAAGCCCTTTAATTGTATATTAAAGTTTCAAAATTAGCGCCTTTCGGAATAAAATATTAGAAAGAATCTGAAAAAATGTATTATTAGGTATTGCACTTTTTTTTTATTTTTAGGTACCTATATTTTTCCGTGTTATCTCATACTTTTCTGTTTCCTTTTATTTTTGCTTGCAATTTTTTTTTTTTTTATTCATGTTCATCATTAACTTATTAGAAAAACATATATTTTAAAAACATAGATTATTTAAAATATGTTTGAACCGATAAATTTACATAATTCCTAATTTTTTTGCAACTACAATTGGAAAAATGTAATTTGGACATTTGTAATTAATAACTTTTTTTATCAATATTATTATCATAAATGTAACAGTTCAAAAACTTACATCTAAGTCGTTTATTTTCCACGTTAAAATTGGTTCTGGATCAGCATAGTCCGATGTACACTTTGCATTGAATGTATCACCTTCAGAATAGGATTTGACAAGGCCGTCAATTTTTGGGGAGCCTCTTGGAAGAGCTGTAATAAAATACTTTTATTTAGGACAATTAAAAACCAAAATATTGTAAAAGTAGGATAACTGTGAGAAAACGGCCCCACTTTACCTACTTTTTACATCTAAATCTACATAATTTAATATATACAAGTTATAAAGTAATTTTAAAACACCAGTTGTTGACCAAATTATTATGGGAGCATCCCTTAAGTAATTCCTTAATAGAAAACAACCTGGATACATTTATCCTCATTCAATAATTTGTAAAGTACTCATGAGCAGCGGCGTAGCCAGGTAGGGGCCACACAATAAACAGTTACTGTTATTACAGCCTGTAACATTGATTGAAATTGTAAAATATTTCGAAAATTATTTTTAAAAAACAAACATTGTATTTGTTTGAAATGTCAAACATTATTTTAAAAGAAAATGTTATTTATTTAGTCCAAAGTTAAAGTAAAATAACTATTTTTATTTTATGAGGTTGTAAATCATGGGTCTAGGACGTTTCATCGCCGGCGTTTCTACGCCGCCGTTTCTACGCCGCCGATTCATCGCCAGCCGGTTCTTCGCCAGGCCAACTCTACGCCAGGCCGGTTCATCGCCGGCCGTTTCTTCGCCAAGCTACTTTGACGCTAATATAGTAATCAAATAAATATACAAACATAAGCAGAATTCAAACCTCAAAATAAAGATATTATTCTCTATCTCAATAGAAATAATTGTTATACGATTTAAAAAACAGCTTTCTAATTCTTTAAAACTATGTTAAGTTTTGTATGTAAACTATGTACGTATAACTTAACGGCGATGAAACGGCTGGCGTAGAAATGACTCGGCGATGAAACGGCCGGCGAAGAAACGGCGGCGTAGAATCGGCGGCTATGAAACGGCCGCGTAGAAACGTCCCATTCCGGTAAATCATAACGAATGATCTCTTTAAAAACAATACGCGACGCGGCAGTGGCGACGTTTGAATCAGGTCGGCAAGTGTTTATTTAGTTACCGATGCCAAAAAGTATTTTTTGTTTACATCTGCCTATTCAAGACATCTAAGAAAATTATGACAAAAAATTAAGTCTTAAAAAACTGTCAACGATTCGTTGGACAAGTCTATTTGACAACTTCCCCGCTATAATAGAGGTTATGGAAAGCAACTCATCTAGTGAAATTTAAAGTACAAATGAGAGTCAAATGATTGATGCTCGTGCGGAATTTTAACATATATAAAATCTTTTGAATTTGTATACCTTCTTTGCTTTTGGAAACAAAAACTTTTAGTTATTCAAATTCTATTTAGTTATTTACAAAAAGTGGATATAAATATATCAGCAGTAGTTTCTTATTATTAATTTATTATTCCTAATAAAAATGTTAAATAAATCAACCATAAATGACTTTAAATCATTGAGAAATGACGAATCGGCCAACAGCTTTGAAGAAAAGGCAAATAAATTTCAAGTAAGTATGACTTGTCCAATGAGTTCACAAGAAAAAGATCAAAAGAAGTTAAACTTTTCACGATTAAAACATCTCTGGGCACATTGAAAATTGGTCTAGACAAAATTTTAAAATTTCTGTATAATTTTTTGTACTGGATACCTTTACTCAAACACTAAAACAGACATTTGATGACTTTTCTAAACGGCGAAAAATATCGCTATTTCTGAAGAGAATAACAAAGCTTTGTATGATTTATTGTATTGTACGAAGCCCGTAGTTCGTCGTAATCTTGTTGAGAAGAGATTGAAAAAAGTTTTAATATAGTGGGCTGAGCTACGTGTTTCTTTTCCAGTTCTTGAAAATATGTTGTATCTTTGTCTTTCTTATCCGGATGTATTTTATTCAAATCGAAGGTTTCATAGCTTTATTTAAAAAATTTTTTCAACAAAGAAGGCACATTGGCGATGACGAATTTGTGGGATTTTTGATTAACCGATATTTAATACATTCCGGACTATACTGCTGTTTCCTCCTTTTTGTCTCTGACATGATCAGCACACTACTTAAATAAAAAATAACAAACAACTATTTGTTTTGGAAGTGCATGTAACTTTAGAAAACTGTTACCGATGCTGAAATGCTAATGAAAATAAAACAAAGCCATTCTACCCTGCCTTATAAATAGATTGGAAAGCATTTGTATTTTTTTAAAAATCTTTTATCCAATCGGAAATAGTTGACGAATACAAATCGTATTGTAGTCTATTAACTGAAATAAATAAGAAATGTAAGTATAAAACTAAAGAAATATACCCTTTCTTAATTTTCAAAAAATTGGAAACAATTTTTGTTAATTTATGCAAAATATACTAAACTTTTTCAATAAATGCTACAAATACTGCAACAGGCGAAACATCTTTTAATAGACTAATAGAAATATTAAAACCTATAATAGGTCGACCATGTGTGAGAACAGATTGATAATTTATCAATGATAAACATAGCATTACTGAGTGTGTCTAATATTGATTTGTAATCTGTAATAGACACATTTAGGACCATTAGAAGTAGAAGAATTATTTTATAAAAGCATTTAGCTATAATTTATATATATTTACGAAAGTGACAGTGTTTTTGTCCGTTTTTTTTTTTAAATATTATAAATTCTTTTTATTTTTGTTTATTATTTAGAATATTATGATCTGTCTTAACTCGATTATTCTTATTTTTGTTTTTTTTTTAAATACATTTTATAATACAAAATACCGTATTTTTAGTAATAATAATAGTGGTTCTAAAAAAGCGCCTCTTTAAATGTCTGCCCCAACATCCCGCAAGGCTGGCTACGCCACCTCTCATGAGTACTTTAACGTACAGCTCCACAACTCCGTGTCGGCGCCTTTGATTTGGCGGTCGAGAACCAAGCAAGACGGAATGGTGCTATCTCTGTTAGATTCGACGGAAAAGTCGGGCCCGGATTAAAAAATATTTTCATTATTGAAATAATTGAAGACCTTGGCGTAATAAGATTGGTTACAAGCCACATTAAGTAAGTTTTAAAAAATTAATTTTTATATTTGTTTTAAATCTGACAAATATAATTTAAAAAATATTTTAAATACAAATATTACGAAAAATAGCACATCTTTCGGATTAGAGGTAAAATAATTTGTATGTAGCTAGTAATAATTCTGGAATTATAAAGAATCGGTCACTTGTGCTTTTATTTTAACAATATTGGTTTTATTTACATGTATTCTTATTCATTGGAATACAGATTTGTAGAAGTAATACTTTGACAGTTTTTATTAATATAAAATATTCAATTTTTATCTGACCATACCGAAGTAGGGAATTTATAGTAATGTGAAATTTGAATTACAATATTACACGAAATACATAATTAGTACCTATTTTAGGTAGGTACCAAATTTGTACTTGGAGAAAGTAATATCGATTTTTACAAAAAAACTTGAAAAGTAAATTAATTTAGTTCCTATTTCTAATGTAAAACTTAAACCAAGAAAATAAATAAATAGTAGTTTGTTCAACAAGAGTGGATATGAGAGCCATATCACACGAAGACGAAGGCAGAGTACTTAATCGTCTGATTGTGATATGGTTAATCCACTCGAGTTGTACAGTATATTTTTCCTACGACCCATTAACAAATTAAAAAAATATATTTTAGGTTATTTAGACAAAAAACTAATTTTAAAATAATTTACGAATTTTACTAATTTATTATTTAATCCTGGGCATAGATTCGATCGCGGGCTTTTCGCGTGGAAGTCAGATTATCTGTCCTCATCTTCACCGACACTTTTAGGATTTTAGTTTTAATACTCGTAATTAAATAAGTATCATATAGTTTAATTAAAATTTTTTTTTTTTTTAAATGTGGACCCAATAAAAACAAAAATGCTCTTATTTATCGAGTCTACACAACAATAACTTATTTTAATATATATTTCATATCAATAACTAAAATATATACTGACAATTAGATTGACAGAATTGTCACTTATTTAAAAAATTTAAATAATAGGAGTTGGTTGACCAAAATATGAACTGTGATTTTTCTACTACTTACTACCTAAAATGGATATGAAATATATTCGTTTAGTTGAACGCAATAGCATACTTTTTCGTTTTGTTGTCTGTGCGTAGTTAGCTAATATCCATGTGGGAGTAGAAAAATTATTTTTTCTACACCCACATGGATATTACCTTATCTATGCACAGATTACAAAACGAAAAAGTATGCTATTGTCTTCAATTGAACGAATATATTTCATATCCATTCTAGGTAGTGGGAACACTGCAAAAAAATTAAATCCGCCAATCACCGTTCATATTTTGATCAACCGACTGCTATTATTTTTAAAATTTTGAATAAGTGACAATTCTGTCAAACTAATTGTTAGTATATTTTTAGTTATTGAGATTGAACATACATTAAAATAGGTTATTCTTTTGGAAAACGTTGGCATGGCTGACTAAAGGGTATTGGTTAATTAATTCTAAAAGTGTGATACAAATATTATTTTTTGTAGCCAATTCTTCAAATTTATTTTGAAATATCTTTTCAATATTAAAAATTAGTTCTACAAATTCATCATTTGGCAGTTGTAGATTTCCAAATGTATCTGAATTGGCGTTATCGTATGGCTTTAAAAAGCAATAAAAATAAAAATCATCTAATTCATCGTGATCTTTGTTATATTTAAGACAGGTATCACAGAAGTGGATCCACAAGGCTTTTATTAAAAGGTAACCACACACGTACATAATAAAAATTTTCTGTAGCCACTCGTCTTTACAATAATTTAGGGTGTTAATGATTTCATCATAAAATAAAACACTGGGTGTTCCATTTATAAAACATACATTTTAATTTGTCAGGCAAACACGCGACACCCTGTATATCCAAATATATTTTTAAAATATGTAGGTATTTTTCAAATCCATATAACTTTTATTTAAAACTTTTTTGAGTGTCTACAACACAAATATTGAACAATTACGCATTAATGGGACACCCTGTATAAATTATATTTTTAACCATGACAATTTCTTA